ACACACCCACATATGTATGGGCTCGAATTGCTTGGAAAACAGGAAGCTCCTCCATTTTGACCGTATACGAGTCAGCTGTGATCAACGACAACAATAACAACAACACAATGCCAACAACAAATATTTCAACGCTTTTTCCCTGCATCGTGTTGATTTAGCTGCGTGTGACAGCTTGTGTTAACGAAAATTTATAAAAATTCCAAAAATTTTTAACTGCAGCAAAAAATATTAAATGCATCACTATATATGTGCACATGTATGGGTGTGTGTGTGTGTGTGTGTGTAAACCAGCGCAGAAAATATAAATTTCATTTTTCACTAAAATTTTTACATTGCGAACATAATGAAATATGAATTATGCGCTTAATAAAGTCAGTGCGTCGTCAGTAAATTTTGTTGTTGTTGTTGCCGCCATCAGTTTTCGTAAATAACCTTCAAGCTCTGGCGCTCTGTTGCTTTGTTGCTTGGTGCAACTGTTGCCTTTGTTGTTGTTGCTTTTGCGGCGGATGTGACTGTCACAGCTTTTCACACTCTTAGCCATGATAACCTGCTTGACGATAATGCATTATTGTCGTTCTTTGCATTGCACTTGACAAATATGAATGCTGCATTTAGTACGGGCAGACAGTACGATGTTGTAAATGTGGGGTAAAAGGGTGGTACAGCAATCCCTAAGGGAGTGTTTATGTTGTGAAATTGCTTGGCTTTCATGCATTGAATTTTAGCAGTTTTTAGAGGTTATGTGTCATGTATATTTACATGTGAATATGTCCTATATATTTTAATAAATTAAGATGATCCGAAAAAAAAGGAAAAAAGCGCAGAAACTGCTGTTGAATCTAGAGTCGATATTTTGACTTTTGACTTAACAATACAAGCCGGAAATACAAGCCAGGCGAGCGAGTATTAATACCCTTTTCTGTAAACAATCTAATATTAGCTGTCTGCGACTAGCGATAACTTTGTTGTTACTTTTACACATAAATTTTTGACCACGAAAGCAGCGCTCACAGGTAACGAGCAGAGAAATGTGGCGAATCAAAGACAGCCAATATTAAAGAAAGTGTGATAATTTCACCTACCTAATCTACGATTTGTGGTACTTAAAGTGGTTTATAAGTATGTAATTCCGATGGGCTGATATAAATCTATATGGGTATTACTACATAGATTTTATCAGGGTTTTCATAGAGCTTTCAAAAGCCATATATTTAATTATGAAATCCATTAGAAATGTCAACATCGATGTTTATGGAAATTTATGGGAGCTTATGTTCTTAATTCGTATCTGGTTGCAATACGAATGTTTGAAACCCCTAATTAATTAATTTCCATTTATTAAAACCGACACCATTATTTCGTCACCAGACTTTGATTAAGATTGGACTTTATTCAAAGAAAACCTCCTCTTAAAATAGCGTGCTTAAGGCACTATTTTATAGTTCATTGGATTATGCCCAAAGTCGCATTGAACCCATTCTGCACAATGACCTTATACAAATGAGTGACTAGTTATACCAAGTTCTAACAAGTCAATTAGCTAAGGTAATTAAAATGTAAATTGACTTATCATGCTTGGTTTTCAAATATATTTAATTTAGCTTAAATAGTTGTAATAGTATAATATCTTGGTTTAGTTCGAGAAAACTCAAATATCGTATCGATTTTTCTAAATTTATAACTAAAGTTTTTTAAAATTTTGACATATTTTTTATAAATGTAACTAAATTAACGCAATTAATTTATTTTTGATGGAGTTAAAATGCTGCAATACCCTAATTATCTAATAATGAGTGCACTTGGATAGAGTATAAGTTTGAGCAGCCCATCTCGCATAAGATTGACATAAAACCTTCAAAAACAAATAAAATCGCGGTCGAATCTGTTTCAAATTATTGGAAGATAATTTTTTAGAAATATCATAACACTTTTTTAATGTATTTCAAGCCTTTGCGACCTAAAATTGAAATGTGTAATTAAAGGCGGTATTTAGTAGTTCAATTCTTCTCACCATATTTCAAGATGATCTGCGTAATAATAAGAAATAGACCTGTGGCCTCTTCAGAATTAACCAGAGATTTTTAAAATAAACCTTTCCAAAGCAAATATAATAATAATAATATTTAATAAAAATCTGCTATTTACTATTTATTTTCTACTCTTCAAAATCACTCAAAACATTTATTTCTACTCTTTATTTATCCTTTGATTTCATTATTTAATTGCAACTTTTGTATGCAGCTTAATGAAAGTATCAAAATTACAACCCTCTCCCCTCTTAGCGTGTTTTACAATTCGCCCGTGCATGGTGAACTGCAATAAACCATGACATGTGACACATTGTTCTCGACAGTGCATTAACACCTGTAAATGTGTAATAAGCTAATGTGACAAATAAGCCAATATTGGACTTGTATGTATGTAAATCTGCCAGGTGCGCAGACCTGCAGCGAAGTTGAGAATCTGCATATATGGTATGCTCTATATTCATATGTGTGTTTGCATGCATGTTTATTTAGCAGTGACGTTGCAGGAAATATGCCATTAAAAGCGTTAATGTGCGACATTTGCATAAATGGAAGTTACGAACAAGGGTTATACAAAGTTAAAATAGGGCAATTAACTGCGGTAATTCAGATTTTAATTGAGTTATTGTGTTTGGTGTTCAATAGTGGTTTGGTGTCTATGATTTACGTACGTAAAAGAACGTATTGATGAAAGGAATGATTAACTTCATAATTGTTCAAAATTTAAGAAGACGATAAATATGTATTACGCGCGATGTAAAGTTTTTTCTGGAAAATAACAACAATAATTTCCGTTGTAATACATAGCACTTATTTATTACAGGCATATTTGTGGAAGTCAGTCAAAAGCAATAATGTTGGAATATATTTGCGAATCGTTATATATATATAATTTATTTTGATGACATTTCGCTTTTTGTATTTTTGTATTATTTGACAATTAAGTGCTAGTGAAACAATTAGTTAATTGCTCTATGGTAAAATTAACACAATTAAGGATTCAATGTATCGCAATTAAAAAATTGCTAATTGAATAATTAATCTACATATACTAATATTATAAAAAGGAGAGATGTGATTGTTTGTTTGGTTGAATTGAACAGGCTCCGAAACTAATTAACGGAATCAAAAACTCTTTCACCGTTCAGTACACTAAGCATAAGCTAAGGTGTAAAAAAATTACCTAAAATATTCTTAACATAGCGCGCGCAGCGAATACTATTGATTACAGAACAAAATAATGTACTACGGCTTTACAGAGCATGTAATTATTTACAAAAAATGTCGCGACATCATATGTTTAACTGTTATAGTTACGTCAGTGTTCTTTTATTTAAAAGTAATAATTAAAAAGCCGCCAAATGAAAAAGCTCTTTATTTGTACATTGGTATTAATCCTTATTAAAATTAATTATTTTATATTCAAGACTGATTAAATATCTTTATATAGATTTTTGAATTATTCAATTCGGACATTCCATTCAAAAGATATCACGAATGTAAAAATGTAAGGATTACAAAAAAGTTGAGGTGGTCGCCACTCACCCCACTCCGCTAGGCTGCAACATATGTTTTGTATAATATGCGATGTTGGCGTGATTGAACTACGGAAGGAGAGTCAATGTCATGAAATATAGTGCAGTGCGGCTTATTCGCCCAGTTGGCTCCCTACGAAGCGGTCGTGTGTGAAATTGAATATAAATAAAACTAGCTAATATACCAAGGATACCGATGATCGCAACTGATCTACCAATGCCGTTTAAACGGCTTCAATTTCGGGTAAAAACATTTTTCGCGTTAACTATTAACAAGTCTCAAGGCTAAACCTTCGAATTAACAGGGATCGACCTACGAAAAGAATGTTTAATAATTGCCAACTGTAGACCCGTAGACCATAATTCTTCCAATTAATCTTCCATAAAGTGGATCAAGTTTTCTTCGATACTCTGCTCCACAGCAGCAGTTGATTCCGATTGTTCAGCTTGTATGACAGCTATATGCCATGGTGATTCGATCTGAACAATTTAATTTCTTCGGAGATTCTAATATTGCTTAGATAATGATCCGTTCCAAACTTCGTGAATATATCTCGTCAAATGAAAAAGTTTTCCATGCAAGCACTTGATTCCGATTGTTCAGTTTGTATGGTATAGTGGGAAATTATTCGACAAATTGTTTTTCTTAAAGCTTGATGAGGAAAACGTGCTTCTTCATATTATAGCTGAACGTAATCTTTACGAATCTTGGTATTGTAATGTGGTGATCTGTGCTTGATTTTGAGTTAACTAGTGGAAAACCCCTTCAATTTTATTTTGTTATCAAAGAACAGATAATTCCTCGATGAAATATAATAAAAAATAATAAATGTTGGAACTGTTGTTCTAAAAATTGGAAACTCGGCAATATGAGACGGTGTTCCATAAATATTTAGCATTACGGCTGTAAGTAATCTAGCACTATTGCAAGTTTAGTGTATCGTAAACATTTTGATAACTTTCATGTAAACCTCTTCAAAATTTTTATAATTGTTAGTATTAAACTGAATACTTTAATATCTGAAATTTGCGTATTAATTTCCGCAACTGAAAATACTTAATTGGCACGCAACAAAAATGTGTACTATCATTATAGAGTATTACATTCCCTCATTTACAAACACGCACATATACATATATGTAGGTATATTTTACATATTTTTCTCGTAAAAATGCAAATTACTTTCAAAATTACCTTTCACATTACGCCAAAAGCTCTGTCAATAATATGAGAGCGCATAGAACACGCTATATAGTATTATATATTTATATTTATTTACACGTTGTAATCACATACTTTTACATGTTTTTCTACTGTCACTCACTTGTCTTATTTCCTTTTACGCTCCACCTTCACCTCGCACTGCCTGTCGCTTTCTCTTACCTTTGCTTATACTTATATTTCATCATTGTTGCTCTTTTACTGTTTCACTTTTAGGACGCAAGCTGCCAATGCCGCTTTAATATCACAGGCGCGTTCCGGCCGCAAGTTGCCGCCCCCTCTGCTGCGTTCGCGCACCCTGCCAGCGATTATTGTGCCTGGCATTCCGGTCGTCTCGCTTAATACGGATCGACAATTTGGTAAGTACCGACATGCTCATACGCTATTAAAATATTTAACTTAAGACACGACGCCTGTGTGTGGAAGTCTGGCTTGTAATTACTAATAATAACTTGGTAGAATCCTCCTATTCACTTTTGGTAAACTATGGACTTATAAATAGTAGTGGGATGGGCCAAATGTCGTCATTATTTGAGGTGTGTCTGCTTATAATGGTCTGTGGTATTATAAAAAAATTTTATTTATTATATAATTAACATTTTTATAAAATAATTTAATTTCTGCGTTTTCGGCATGGTGGCTCTAATCAGTCCTCTATTTGAGTAAATTACATTATTGAAGTTAAGTTTGACATATCTTGTACAAGCTTCTTTAATTTTGCCAGAAAAAAAATTAAATTTCAAAATAAGTATTATGAATATTCCTGCTATTGGTTAAAAAGTGGGTACCAAATCCCATTCTTAACTTGGTATAAGGTAAAATATCTTAAATATAATCTGCAGAGTCATATGTGACTAATTTCGTTGGGTTATTGGGCAAGCTTAGTATATAACATCCTTTTATATAACAGCCATCATCAATAAGAGAGCAATTTTCAATGTCGATTTGACATTCTTAAAACAAATTAAAAAACTAAAAAAAATTGATTTTTAAGAAGCTTAACGCTAAAGTTTATTGAAAGTAATATCTCAGGGAGTCACCAATTTTCACGAATCAATGATTTCTGGCCACAAATTTCAAGTTATTTATGTAAAATTTCGGGAACCCAAAATTTTGTCGGATAAACAAATACGTATACCCAATCGTTGCGGTTCATATTCTAAAGGTTTTCGAGATTTTTAAACTTCTAAATTCTTAGTTCCTATATAAGATGCTCCCCATTTATTGTTTATTTGCACAACATTTTCTTGCGAAGTTTACTGCCATCGAATCTCGCAAACATTTTGTTTTACTACATGTGTATTGACACACAGAGGCAGATCGAAACCTACACTGTTGGTACAGTTCCTTCCAGCAGCCGTCTAAGTAAAAATGTAAATGTCAGCAAAGTCACGGGTAGCACGACAAACATATAACTAAGAGTATGTATTTAAGCTTCTAAAGAAACTTTTTCAAATGCTAAGCACTTGGTTTGGATGGATGTAGTAAGAGGTTATCGTTAAAGTTGTTGCAAGTAATTAACAGTGTGACACTACAACGCCCAACAGCACTTGAAGGGTAAATATACGAGGGTGTACAAATAAATTGAACATGGAGAGTAGTCAGCAGAATCAGATAGAAATGAAAACTAATAGTGTGTTTCAGTTGATAACAGTGTAACAATGACAGTTTGACGAGCATATAAGCTTAGATTTCTTTAGATACGATCGAAATGGAATTTAGGGAACGACTTTTGAATAAAAAATGTTACGCAGTTAGATAGATATCTGCTTGACTTTGGCATTGAGTCAGCATGTCTGTTTCTAATCGCTCTGTCAAATTTACGAGTTTATCTGCTTTCATGGTATACTTTTAATAGTTGAATTATATAAGAATTATATGCATGTCAAAATTCACTACCCTCTAGAAGGTAACATCCGTACGGAACCCACACGCTATAGCGGAAAAGTAGATTTACCTAGCTTTCTAATAATGAGCAATATTCTGACATATCTGCCTGCCCTCGTGTTTCATCTGCTGTCTGAAGTTTCACACCCACGCTGGCTGCCGATCCCGGTAGCATTAGTTATAATTCAATTAAAGTTCCACCTCTTCAAACGACACGGCTGATCACCATTGACAAGTGTATTTAGTTATTCTAGCTGTTTTCCTTCTTTGGCTTACTCTTTCTCAAAAATTGGCTTAATCTTTTTTATTGGTATTTCTCATATTGAGCTCGTTGCTTGTCCATATATTTTTGTGGATAAGTATTTGTTGGTATTTGCGAGTTTGTGAAGGTAATGTAGGTGTTGGCCCGACCAATCCAATTAGTTCGCACGATGTGCACAACAAATTTGCAACTTTTCCACAAAACAATTTATATAATTTTGAATTTCTGTGACACACACTCTCACTACCACTACTATGCTATTTCTATCTCTTTCTATGACTCTCACTTTGAACTCACACTTCTCACGACATCACGTAGACGAGCGTGCTAGCGGTCTTCTGGGCACCAAGTCTGGCAGCGGTACCAGCACCGGCTGTGGCGGCACAAATCGTTGGTCTCTGCTCAGCCGCCAAACACCGACAACGCCTGGTTACACTAATAACAACAACAATAACAATATGGTGAATATAAAATCGTTGAATTTGCCAAAAGACGACATGGGTGTCTATCGGCGTAAGTCCTCCGGCAGCACTACGGGGCACAGCAGCACCAGCGCTAGCATCAGCGGCACACCGGTCGTCGGCTCACAAGTGGCAGATGCGGCTTTGCTGATGCCGACCTGCGAAGATTTTGAGTGTCATGCTGCCGATGGATCAGTGTTGCTAAGGTGAGTACCACCTTGCTAATTAATTGAATTTTCTCTTACCATTTCTTTAACTAATTTGTAAAATATTTGCTTTAATATTTATTTTCGCTACATTCGCTTTGCAGGATTCCCGCACCGCATGTTGTGGCTGCACGAGCTTATCGCCTGGCATCGAAGAAGCGCAACACCTGCGCCAGCAATACTCACGACAGTCAACAAAGGCAGCAACAACAGCAGCTGGGCGGCAGCAATGTGTCAACAGCTGCGGGTGTAGCGGCAATGGGTGGCAACGCTGGCGAGCTACAACAACCGTCCACACCTGAGGGCACTAGCAGCGGTTATGGTGAGGTAACTGGCAGCACCGCGAACACGGCGTTGACACGTCGGCTGGCCAAGCTGCTGCATCAGTCGAGTGTGACGGCCTCGAGGCTGACGGCAGCACCGTCGTCGCATTCCGATCACACAACTGCCAGCGCCACAGCCACCGCAAACAATCTCCTGCCAATTATGGCTGCTGCGACGTCAAGAGATGGCGGTGGCCGCGATGGCAGTGGCAGCTGCTTGGAAGAGGCCCCACGGCGACTTTCATGGGAACGGTAAGTGATAATGTTCGCACAGCTGTGAGCTATTGAAACTCAAAAGAGATTGGGTCATAGTTCAACTATTCATTTGAATTGAAAATTGAATTGGTAGCGTGTTGTAACTTAATTAAGTTGTTAACTAGAAACCGGTTATGCGCGCGTATAGATTTCAAGGCCGTTATACAAGTATTCATAAACTATTTAAGAGGTTTTTTTGCTGCTGCTTTGGAAATTCGAGGTCTGTTATGCTAGTGAATTGAGAACAGTAATTAGCCCGTGAACATTTTTCTGTTGCTTCAGCCGGTCATAGATACGACTGTAGAGCTAATGAATGATAGGTTTTCTAAGAAAAGAACACGGTTAAATCGGATGAAATTAAAGAAAAAAAGTGTATATATCCATTACGAAAAAAATGCTCGTATATTAAATATTACATTATAAGTAGAAAGGGTAAGGATATTTCGCAATTAAATTTTTTGGCGTTTATATTAGTTTAGTCGTATCTGCGGTACTACGTACTATGTGTCCCAACAAAAATATTTTCATATATTGTAATAACAAATATTTTTCAAAGACCTTCAATTTGGTATTAATATTGCAATATTTATTTTAAAAATGTTCAGTGTCAACCTTTCTCAAATATTTCCAAGGTGATTCTTTCAATAGAATATTTTATTTGAAGTCCTTATTGTAATATTTGATTAAATCAATTTAAAGGTAACAGGTTGCAGCCCTGACTAAAAATTAGTTTTCTTTGATAGAGTTATTTTCATAATTCATTCACCTTATTTAATTGATCTAAAATTTTTAATGAGATGGTAAAAATTCTCAAATTTTTTTTAAAATAAAAGCTTCCATGACCCATTCATTTTGATTTTCATAATGTAGAGCTTTTTTTAATTTAATAAATGGTTCTCCTGGAATTGTCTAACAGGTAGCGATTTTGAATTTATTTAATTATAACTCATTCAAATATTATCCCTAAAAAATTAAAAAGCCTATGCAAATAAGTACGAAGTATGTTCACAAAAAATAAAAGGTGAATTTTAAGATTAAAATTTCGCGGGTTTGGTGAGTCAATTGTCAAAATTTTTTTTATTATGTTGATATACATTCCCCCGGAGGTCGATAAAATTTTCAGCTATATTCATTGCTTACTTTGTCTGTCTGGCAGCTGCTAAGCTTAGACGTGTTTTTAAGAGCGTTACGATTTTCGATTGTTAAAAGAAATGGGTCACAGAATTTGTTCGTAACTTCTTAGCCAAAAACAATACTGTAACGATGATCCAGCCGCCATATTCCCTTGATATAGCTCCGTGTGACTTTTTCCTTTTTTCAAGTATAAAGAGTGGGGCGTCGTTTTACAAGCATTGTTGACATTAAAAGCGCATTGTTGAAAGCGGCCTTCAGCTCTATTACCAAAAATCGAGTTTACGACGATTGGAAGAAGCGCTGGCATGAGTACACAATATCGAGTGGGGAAAACATTGAAGTGGACAAATGATAAATATTTTTTTCAAAAAATTAAAATTCCCCTTATTTTTTGAGCACACCTCGTACATTTTCCACTAAGGTCACGCTCTGTATGCTGCGAACGTGACGAAATTTCGTTACGTAACACAATTTCGATGCGTTTGCCAATACCGTGCTTAGAGAAAATTTGATTCCAAAATTTATATTATCGAAAACAAATAGTTTAAGTTTTCTTAACCCGTCATCCTGTAAAAATTATCTAAATCAAATATATGCTCTAAAAAAGCGCACATATACGATACAAATAATGTAGATGCATTAGCTGCATATGAGGTAACATTTAAGAGACAAATAATGCAGTGTTTATTTATACCTATGTTTGCATCTATGTGAATGTGAATATGCGGTTTTGTGTGCTTGTGTGCTAATTTGATGCTCTAAGTATACCTGCACATATTGTTTTATCTGTTTAACACGTTGTAATTAGTCCATTTCACAAATAAACTTCTATACAACATACATATCTATACACATTATATGTGTGAGTGTGTGGTGAATTTCCTAGCAGCGGCGACAACAATAAAAGTAACAACAAGCATCGCCAAGACAACAGAATGGCTGCATAGCTGTGATTCACAACATACATTTAGGCGTAATAAACGCATATTTACGAATATAAATTAGTATGTTTATATGCATGTATACTAAATATTTTAATTCATTTAACTGTGAATGCTTATCCATACAAAGGCAACAGACTTAATCACTAAAACACAGTGATTCACCAACATATAACCAACAACACGTCCCTGAGCAGACATATTGCATATATAATTGTATGCCTGAGTGTAAATTTAATTTCACACATACATAAGCATGTGTTTGACATTGTTACAAGGTGGCTAAGCATATTTATCAACATTCATACAATAACAATCTGCATAACAACAACAATAATAGGTTTGTTCATTACAGTGTAGCATTTTGGTGTTCCACGTCAATGCTTCCAGATACCCAAACAAACAATCACTCAACTTGAATACATACATATATACATATGTATATCTAAAATGTGCTTCTGGCTTCACATAAAAATGTCAAGGTCATTTAGATAAAATCTCAAATTTGTCGGAATTGTCGCTATTAATATGAATTTCGAAAGCACTGTTATTTTGAATGCGCATTTTAGCAGTTCACACATGCCTGCGTTTGTCTGTCTAAAATCTAAAACTCAAGGGTGTACACACAATCGAATTTTAATGTGAATGAGTTATTATTCAAATTTAAGGAAAATTTTCATTGTTAACAGTTTAAGCCGTTATGTAGTTACTTTTCGATAATTTCCACAGAGCTTTAGTGTTTGATTTTTCACTCACATTCATATAAATGATTTTGTTAGTTTCTAGTTCGCAATGCTTCTATTTATAAAATACTTTCGAATTTAATATAAAGTTGTCAAATATCTCCCTTCCGCTTTTTTGTCTTTTGACATAATTTGAAAGGTCTTGACATAACCTACAAAACAACGCTATGCATGATTAGTTTGGATATTGCGTTCAACAGTTATAGACGTGTAAACATGGAGTTCACTAACGCCGAAATTCGCGCTATTTTAAAGTTTTCCTTCGTTAAAGGCAAATCCGCTAGAGAAACGTTCCGTGAGATTAATGGTGTTTTGGGGGATGGTACTCTATCACTTCGAACCGCGGAGGAATGGTTTCGACGATTCAGAGCTGGTGAAAACGACACCATGGATAAGCCAGCCGGCGGAAGACCTGTGACGACAAATACCGATCAAATCATGGAATACATCGAGTTAGACCGGCATATGGCATCTCGTGACATCGCCCAGGAGATGGGAGTTAGTCACCAAACCATTTTGAACCATCTGCAGAAGGCTGGATACAAAAAAAAAGTTTGATGTTTGGGTGCCGCATAATTTGACGCAAAAAAACCTTCTGGACCGAATCAACGCCTGCGATATGCTGCTGAAACGGAACAAACTCGTCCCATTCTTGAAGCGGATGGTGACTGGCGACGAAAAATGGATCACATACGACAATATCAAGCGAAAACGGTCGTGGTCGAAGGCCGGTGAATCGTCCCAAACAGTGGCCAAGCCGGGATTGACGGCCAGGAAGGTTTTGCTGTGTGTTTGGTGGGATTGGAAGGGAATCATCCACTATGAGCTGCTCCCATATGGCCAGACGCTTAATTCTACCATCTACTGCGAACAACTGGACCGCTTGAAGCAGGCGATCGACCAGAAGCGTCCAGAATTGGCAAACAGGAAGGGTGTGGTGTTCCACCAGGACAACGCCAGACCACACACTTCGTTGATGACTCGTCAGAAGCTACGGGAGCTCGGATGGGAGGTTTTATCGCATCCACCATATAGCCCGGACGTAGCGCCAAGTGATTACCACCTGTTCCTGTCCATGGCGAATGCCCTTGGTGGTGGGAAGTTGAACTCAAAAGAGGCTTGTGAAAAGTGGCTGTCCGAATTCTTCGCAAATAAGGGGGGGGGCTTCTACGAGGAAGGTATTATGAAGTTGCCGTCTAGATGGAAACAGATCATCGAACAAAACGGCGCATATTTTAACTAAATCCGATCACTGTAACACTTTTTATAAAGCATTGAATGAAGAGCAAAAAAGCGGAAGGGAGATACCTTCCAACCTTATATAATTTTATTTCATTAAAAATGAAGCTAAGTATTTATATGAATATTAAGGTTTTTATGAATATTTTAGTAATCGTTTTTAGCATTCAACTCAGCTTTTGGCCATAATAAAGTTAGTATGTTATAGCATCTAATTAAGTTTTTGGCCGCAAAGCTGAGTTATTCCTAAATCTAGGGAAGTTGGAATCATCAAATATATAACTAAATTAGAACTCCACGGCGTATGAGCAACGTGTTTGGAGTGTTTTATAAATCAGTTGTTGTCGAGTTGTGGAAGAACTTACTTTCTTTTCAGAAAAATCTATTTTTCATGTTTCAATATTCTTCACCCAATTCACCAGAGCGTTGTCAAGTAGCTTTGAATTATTTTTTTAAATTGATCCCCACTTACTGATGGCCGTAAAATCTATTCTTGAGGATGAACAAGCAATTGTTTGCTGGAAGTGTTTCTTCAGAACATGCTAGTTGACACTGCAAGCGATAAGATTTCCAAAAATACAATTTCATTAATCGAGGATGTTGGGCCAAATTGAAACGATCGATTGTGAGCTCGCGCGGCTTCTACTTTATGCTTGTTTACATGCTTACTTTACAGAGTTATATCACATTAACGTCTGAATAAAGACGCATTTGGGTGTTAATTACTCTCAGCAACTATCCTCTTGCTTTGTTCCTCATAACCAAACCAATAAATTGGTTTCCGTGGCACCCAAAACCCATACAGTTTCTGTTTCGAACGTTAAACCAATAATATCTGAATTCATGACACCTACTTCATTTTTTTATTGGTTTCAATTCTGATTCCGACAAGTAACAGATTCTACAACACCTCTAAACACCAACGATTACCCTCTTCCCA